AAAAATAAAAGTATATAATTTTCTGAATGCATATGGTCAAACCTGGGATAGTCGATAGATGAATGGTCTTTTGCTCTTGTGTGAAAGGTAAATGAAAGCTCACTAAAAAAGTGTCAGACCTGAAGTAAGGAACTTCTTGTGAATAAGATGTTTTGTGCTAATTTTCATCCAGCACTCAAACTGAGAGAGTTGGAAAGGAAAAGCAACAGCTCTGCTTGATCAAAATGAATGGCTAGTTAATAAAAAATAAACAAAACCTAAAAACACAGAAGAGTAATGGCACTTCATTTTAAATCCTATAAACCCAATAGCCGCCCAATACCATGTCTTTGACCATAGCCCCAGGCCTTCAACGTGACACGGTTCCCAATCACAGAGCAGAGTGTTGCACTTCCACCTTACTACCAGGATTTGCAAAGACAGATACATGGTCTTAAGACAATACTAGGAAGTTGCAAGGCAGGGTTCCCATGAGCTACTGCTTCCCAGCGGGGATATTGACTCTCATTCTAAATTTTCCATTTGAAATCAGGTAGCAACTTATGTTTACTACGCTACTGGTCATGCAGCTACTTCTCTTGAAATAAAAATCTATCTAGCAAGATCTATCAATGTAAGAGAGGGTTTTTTGTTTGTTTGCTTGCTTTTTAAGCATATCTTCATGACATAGGTCTATTTCATTTAAGTATGGACCAGAAGTGGATTTTTAAGGTAGGCTGCACACTTCCTAACTTGGACAGCGAGATCTGAGCCTCCACAATTCTCTGACTTTTCATTACACCTAATGTGTCCCTCCAAATTGACAAAGGACCAGGAACTGCTACTTTGTACCCATTTTGCCTGCCTACCCTGCAGCACTAGGGAAAAAATACCGACTTCTTATAAAAGTTGTGGATCTTTCAGAGTAAAAGTTGGAAGGAGAAGCAGAAATTAATTCTGCGTTCCCTAGAAATTATCTCAGTGCAACTCTTAAACAAATAGCATTCTCTCACCTTAAAAATAGTGGTGTTTAAGGAAAGCATTAACCTGGTCTATTAATCAAGCATTCAAACTTCTTTCCTTCAGTGTCCCTTCAGTTAAAAATAAAAATAATTTAAATTAAAAAAAAAAAAAGGCATACCATGTCCGAGCTCCCTGAACTCCTTTCAAGAAACCTAGACGAACTGCTGCACCATCTCAGAAGCCTTTTGCATTTTGTTAAAAATCAACCTGGAGCAAGTCTCATTTTTCTGCAACTACATACAGCTGGAATTGGTCCTTTGTACCCTGGAGCCTGCACGCCCCAGTGCTCAGCAGCTCAAGAGCTGCACCAACATTTCTTTGGTCGCCCATGGTGGCAAGCTAGCCTAGGACGGCTCCAGTGGCATCCATCCTGCTGCACCATCAGCTGAGCTCCATAACATGCCCTGAGTTACGGCTTGACCCACCCAGCAAACTGGCAATGATTTGGGACTCACCAACATGTGAGGCTCCCAGCTGCAGCAGTTCTGCAAAATATGCTGCGCTGCAGCAGGAACAGGAATTCCCAGCCGTCGTTTCCTGCTCATTGCAGTAAGGATAGAAAAGTTTCACACACTGGCCAAACTGACCTAAGAGCTTGCCGTCCCCCCATCAATGGATAGGTCTGCTCTGCCCTCTGTCTCCTGTTCCCACTGCTTCCTTGTGGCAGCTCAGGTATTTTGTCTTACCCCTTTGTGTATCGGTTCAGCTTTCTAAATTGTAAAATAAATAAATGTGTGTGTGTGTGTGTGTGTGTATATATATATATAAAAGTTTAAAAAAATCGTTAAATCTCACACAAACTATGGGAGGCACACAGCTGAGAAGAGCAACAGAGACGTGGCACTGCAATAGCAAACCATCAGACAGATTTCACATCATGGCTGGGCTAAGTTTCCCTTCCAAGAAATGTTAGTGCAATCTCCCAAGCAAGCTGCAGCCCAACGTTTTTAGGCCAGTCTAAATCACGTATATCAGGTTATATAAATTTTTAAGTTTAACTTACTTAGCATTTTGGTCACTGAATGCCAAGTTTCACTTAGGTGTTTACTCATCAAAACACACGTATTTATTTATCATTCCATTATGATTATACCTGAAGCACTGTAATTTACACCCAAATTTGCTACACAGTAGTATAACCAAACTAAAGATGAAAGCTAAAGCTTATTTTCTGTTGTCCAAAATGAGTTTGGAATTTAGGTGATCCTGCTAATAAAAAAATCCCTGTTAGATTCCATGAGAATTATGATGTCACAAAAGCAAGTGACATATTAATTTAATTAAGCATTTACTTCATTTAAAAAAAAAAAAAAAAAAAAGCACCTCATTTCCCTATTTCCACACAAAAAGTATAGCATAAAGCATTGCATATAAATGCAAATGTGTCGTTATTCAAATAGGCTTTCATTTCCTATTTTATTTTTTTTCCCCAAATAACCATGAAGTCAAAGAAGCAATACAATGAGACCACGCTGGAGATTTAACCAAACATGGTGGTTGATCATTTTGTTTCTGTACTGCTCAAGTATTTGAAGAGAGTATTTGACAACTTTTCTTAATATATATATACATACACACACACAGCTAATATGGAAATCAAATACATTAACTCAGCCTGATGAATCCAGAGGATGAAGAACAAGAAACTGTAGGAAGAACACGATCAAAAGGTGTCTACAGAAAAGATATCACAGAAACTGCAAGACTCGCATTCAAGTCACAGTGAGAGGTAGCGAGAGCGAGCAGAAAACAAAAATTTAAGTTCAAAGAGGGTTTTAAGTTCATTAAGAAAAGAAGAAAGTCCCCCTACCAACTGTATTGGTAAAACTCATACAGATCCGGTGAACAGCAATTAATTTAAGACTAAAAAGGCATTGAATACAGCAGAAATGAAAGCCACAGAGGTATACACGAAGCCATGGAGAACACAATCTACAGGAAGATTCATGGAAGAAAACTTACGAATGATGAAAATATTTCCAGAACATAACAAGCAAGCCTACTGGATAATTTCTTAGCAAGCTGTACATTTAAGAGTACTGTAAACCTTATTCTTCTACACTTGAAAATAAAACAAGGAAATTACCAGTAAAAGTGTTTTACCCTGGGAATTGCTTCTCAAGTGGATCCTTTCCATCTCTAAATCCTATGGTTCACTGAGCATGGTATCATGAGGCTGTCAGGTACCAATGTTTGTGTTTCTCCAAATGCACAAAACCATAGTTTCTAATGTGAGTTTTACATGCAGGGATGAAAGTCAGTCTCCTCAAAGCTGGTAAAACCGAGTATGCTTCTCCCAAGTCTAGGGAAACAAACCTCCCTTCCCTCTCATTAAGGGCCTCATAATCACGATCTTCTGAAATGAATATATTTGCGTAAAACCTCTTCCATCAGTTAACACAAAACATCAGTTCTCCCAGTGATTTATCTTCAAGTGCTATTTTAAGACCAATGATACCACTGCATAGTCTTGGTTTACTAGTTTCATTCACCCTTCTTCCCCTTTCTTTAATTTTTGCAGACTTGCAGGAACTAGAAACAACTGGAGGGAACAGTAATACACCACAAGTATGTGGTAAGAGATGAACTATACACCTAAGGAATACTCCAAGTTTTTGTATCTGGAAACAAATAAACAAGCAAATATGTAAAAATGGGAGTTCAAACAGTTATGATTCAAGACAACACTTAAGTCACCATAAAAATGAGATCTGTTCCATGGTTTTTTGGTTTGGACTAATGGCCACTTCAGAGGCCATTCAGGCAGTCAGACTAGCGATAGAATAACGGTGCTGTCTTCCCCGGGATGATTTTGGTTTAATTTGAATTCCTGCGTGGATGCCTCACAGGAAAAGAATGTGCAGCACTTGTTATTCCTGAGTCCAAGTTCCCGAGCTTTTCTGGGACAAGGGCAACTAACACTTCATGTGGTCATTTCATGTGGAAATGCACATTCTGAGCCTGCAACAAGCATGCCGCAAGTTAACCCAATCTTACGGCCATCAGCCAAGTCAACTACAGAATGCCTTCTTCTCTAGAGAGCTATATAGTTGACCAGCAAAAGCAGGCATTTTATTGGTTCATGCCTTTAAAATATATAATTACAAGTATCTGCAGATGTTTTGCATTCTACTCACATTAAGAAGTCAAATAACTTTCCCCAACATTATGATTGCATGCTTGCCATAAGGTGGAATGTTCTGCTTGTTACAAGAATCATGCACATGTCCCTGTTCACCTTTAAGATAAGAGCAACAGTTCTGGTTGTAGGAGTAAGATACATTAATGGTGACAAGGATAGCCAACAAGGCTACCTTCCAAGAAAAAAATGGTAAAGAAATAAATTTGAATCTTTTTTTTTTAAATGATTTTTTTTTTTTTTATGATGCCAAATGGCTTCAAAATTTCTCCTACAGCCCCTGCAAATTTGTCAACAGCACATTGGAAATCCTTTGAGGTTACTGTGAAAATAAAATGATTCAATGTAATTATTTTTTTCTATGACAGACAATGTGTTTCACAGCCAAAATATTGTGAAATTTCTTAATGGAAGCCTAAAGAGAGATCTCTGCATCACCTGAGTTATTTTAGTGCAACCAAAGCTTTAACAGAGTTGGGGAAGAAGTAAATTCCCATTCCCTACTAGAGGGATGTCTAAGGTGGTTTGTGAATACAAATAGGATGATGGCCTTTAAATAAAGATGGGTAACGTCACATAGGTCTGTGCACAGGAGCACTTGTGCCGTTTCATATAGTAACGAACTGATTAAAATTACAGATCCGAATCACAGCACAGGTAATCTTGAGTTCTAAGTCAACGCAAAAAATGGCACAATTTTTAACAGAAGTGAAAATGGAACTAAAATACTGAAAACTTGGTAGGTTTCTGTAGTGCCTTTTGTTCTTATTTGTTT